GGAATGCCAGGAGTGGCAGACAACAGCTTAGAAGTTCAAACTCATTTGTAAAAACTAGGAGTTGGCTATTCTAAAAATCTGATTCTTTCCTTCAACCATCCTTTCAGAACAGATTTACTTTTCTTGGAAAAGATGTAATTATTCTGGCAGAACAGTGAAATTTCTGCATGTTAGTGCACAAGGTATTTTTCTTCCCCTCCATGTGCCATAATCTAGCAGAACTTCAAAGTAAGATATTTTAACAGAGCATACATATGTGTGGGTTAGGCAGATGTTTTCAAAGTTGTATTGTTGTTCAATAATGCACTTACAATTATAAAGTGTATTCCCACTAAAAGCAACTCCAAGAGCTTCCACAGGGAAGATATTAGTCAACTGTTCTCCCCTCTTATCCAGCAGCAGAACTGATTGCTTAATAAAGCTGCAAAGCAAACCAAATGTATCCCAGAGATCTTTATCCCATCGTACAGACTGTGCTCTTGAGGACTCCGTTCCAATTTATATGCAATGTTTGTGTTATTTCACAGAACAACACCTTTGATATTTCCACAGAACTTATGCCCTTACACAACTGTGAGAACTCCAGGGCTGTGCAGGAGTCATGACAGAGCTGTCATCACCAGGGCACAGCCCAAACAAACCCTCACAGCACCAGCTCACCTGGCAGCTCTGCCCCTTGGGAACACCAGCAGCTCCCACATGCTCAAACCCAGAGTATAACAAATTACCTCTCCCTCAACTAAACTCTATCAGGTCCATCTGACCACACACACCCTTCCACTTCACTGTGATAACATCAGATTCACCTTCAACATGGTTCCTGTATCCCAACCTTTACTCCCCAATCCAGGCTGTGCAAAGCATTTGATTGCACCCTACATGCCAACTGCAATTAAAGGGAACCACTGCTGCTGGTGTCCAAGATGTGGCTGTAGGTTTTTGTTGTTATCTTGGGTCGAGGTTTTTTGGGAAGTTGGATGGTTTTTTGGGTTCTTTCGGGTTTTTCGTTCTTCAGTGTTTTGGGTTTGTTGGGGCTTTTACTCACTGTCTATTTTGTTATTAAACTGACAGATGAAGCTTCATCATCAACCTTGTCATTACTTGTCCCCAAGTATGATTTGTATTTAACTATCAGTAGTAACATCAACTATCAATCTAGAACTTCAAAAGCCTTTTTCATGAAAACCAACTTTCCTTCTGGCTTAACCCTCACATTTGCAGTTATATCCAACTCCTTGTGATTCTGCAATTTTATTTTTCTTTAGGCAGAACTCAAATTTTTAGCAACTTAAATTCTACAAGACTTTGCAATTAATTAAAAAGTAAATTAGGAAAAAAAACCCATAAAAACATATTTATTACTAAGTGTTTGCCACTGGGCATTTAATAAAGCCACAGATTACTTTTTAAATATCCATGATGAAGCCCAAAAGCTTTATTAAATATCTAATAAAAATGCTACAAAATAAAAATTCCAAGGCTTAATCCCATGGATAATATTAAATATTGCACAAGAATAAAGATGAAAAGCAAAGCTATAAATGTAAAAATACAGTCTTTTGGACATGTAAAATTGGAAAATAAGATGATATTTTCATGTTTACAATTTTATGAAGGCTTATTGAAATGGGAACATTATTCCTATTTCTTTACCAAGGAGCCAGATTAAACATGACCATTATTATTTAAAACTATATTTTCCAATTTAAAAACTTCCTACTTTGAGGTTCTGCAACTTGATTATCAACAGAAACCAAGAAAAGCAAAAAAATGTAGCTGCAACTTTTCAAAATAACCTAGTTCTTTGATGCAGATTTCAGTTCAGTGACCAAATTTCTGTGTAGATTAACTGTTATTTAAAGAATATGAGCATATTCTACACCTGGTAACAGTACTGTTTCTAATATAGTTACAATACAATTACTTAGCCCTTATCTGTCAAATTACAGCCACCACTTCAATATTCGTGATACCAACTTTAAACTGGTGTGTTATTCTTGATTATTCCACCAGATCTATAGAACATAGAAAGTAAACATTGAAAGGCTAAGAGACCTGGGGCTGTTTAGTCTTGAGAAGACTGAGAAGGGACCTGATTAATGTCTATAAATATTACAGGGTGGGTGTCAAGAATGGGCCAGTCTCTTTTCAGTGGTGCCTGTGATAGGATGAGCGGAAATGGCACCAAGTGACAACACAGGAAGTTCCACCTCAACATGAGGAAAAACTACTTTACTGTGAGGGTCACAGAGCCCTGGGACAGGCTGCCCAGAGAGGCTGTGGAGTCTCCATCTCTGGAGACTTTCAAGACCCATCTGGATGTGTTCCTGTGTGCCCTGAGTGTTCTTGCTGCAGCAGGAGGGTTGGAATTGATGATCTCCAGAGGTCCCTTCAAATCCCTATGATTTGGTGATTCTGTGAGATAGATTAATAGCTAGAAAAGCTATCCTATACAGCCCTTGAGAGGGTAGGGACATCTGCTGAGGTCTAAGAACAGACTGACCTCAATGTGCCAACTCAGTGATTTGATGAAAGAATGGCCAATTTTCCTGCAATAGCAGAGCCCCAGCACAGTCCACAAACGCTGGAGAAGAAGTGGAACATACTGCAGTTAACTCATGATAACTTATCTATGTCTGTCAGCATTTGGAATGAAGACAGGAAGGAAGGAAGGAAGGAAAGGAAAGAAAACCTTGTTTTCAGGTTAGAATGGGAATTTGAAGTGGAGGTAATGGGATTAAACTATTTGCCTAAGAACAATAAACCAGAAATGAAACACTGAATGGACTTACAATCCCATAGATAAACAAAAATCTTTTAAAATTACTTTTAACAAAAAAAGGGAAAATAAATGCTTCTCTTCCCTACATCTCAAAAAGGACCCCTTTTGCTATAGAACATTCTTGGCCCCCAAAACATTTGCTGTCAAAAGCTGGTATTTCAGCAGCTTTATAGCTAGGGATAAAAGTAAATTAACTTTTTGTTCTGACAGAAGTTACTCTATTTTAGTCTGGTACAAATACAGATATAGTTCATATAATATAGTTTAGTTTGGTACTGAATAGATCAATATTTTCTCCTTGTGCTCTGCTACCTTGCTTCATTTTTAAGACCCTCAGTAAGGATCTTCTCACTTCATTTTAGCTACCCAGACACATAGGCAGATTCTAAAGACTTTTTTTTTTAAGATATATACCATTTGATTTTTCTGTATCATCCTTAAATTAAGAAGCATGAAACACAGCTTTATGAAGGTGACAGAGTAAGGTTGTGAAGATTTTCTGCTCATACTGATTTTGCACATTTTAAGGAAAAAAGTAAGCAAAGCAGTGTCTGGGGGCTGAACAACATCCAACATATTACAGAAGGAAAGAGCCTCAGTAATCAAATGGGACTTTCTTTAATATATTCCTTTTGCCACCACAGTAGACACTCCGTGTCTCAAAGGAAAAAAGAACAGATATCTCAAATGCTTAAGGGCAGGTTCTATATTAATGCTTTAGTTCAGATTAGAAATGTGCTTTTGGAGCAAATTCACTGATCATCCCCACTTACTGCTCCTTGGTGCATATGACAGAGCTGCCTTAGAACATATTAAATTCATTCCTTTTGGCCAGGATCAAACCAGATGTGCTCCAAGTACCAACTGGGCATCCTGTCCACAGTAGCAGACATTAGTCAGCATGAAATAAAACTCTCCAAAATGCTTGTCAAGGCCAATGCTGGGTCCTCAACACAAAGGTGTCGGTGTTTCACCCTCTGTAGATCTGCTGGCTTTACACCACACCACTTTATATTAACACAGACAGAGTAAACTGTGCAAGGAAACCTTCAGCTCTTCCTACAAGGCACATACCACCTTTCAAGATAGAAACCCATGGCCCTCAAACATCTGTTGCACCAAAGCACTGTTTTATTTTGTGCTAAAGAGGTCTAATGGTATCATGAAACCTGGAAAGATGACTGCTGCAACAGGATCAGGAAAAATTCAGCTGATGCTTTAAAAGTAAATGCATTTAATTTTAATTATATGCACTTTTCAGGCAAGAAAAACATTAATGTGATTTTTTTTTCAATGACAGAGCAAAGGTAACAGTAGTCAAATCTTTGGAGCACAAGTAATGTCAGATGTGTGTTGCTATATAATTAGTTTTGTGTGGATGATAGTATGAGAATCATACAGAAATTGCAGAAGAACGATCAAAAGGAAAAGACCTGTGGTTGTGTCTGTGAAAACTGAACTACTTCTCTCCACTGCTTACCCCAGTGAACAGGAACATAACCAGAAGTATTGAAGAAAAGCAGTTTTCCCCCTGACACTATTCACTTGACCTTCCAGTTGAGTAACTTCTACAAGTGATCTATGCACCAAGGAGAAACAGCAGTATGCTGTTAGTAGATTCTCTTCTGTTAGGTTCAAAACCAAGCTTGTTTTGGGCACTAAGCTGCCAATATCCAAAAAGAGAAAAGTAGCAGTCCCTTCCAAATACTCTCTACTATTGAATTTTACCTCCTGCAAGTACTAAAGAGTTTCAGGAGCAGTTACTCATTTTCACCACTGAAGACAGTTAAATCTTGCAATAATTGGAAGAAGAAACAGACAGGACGTTTCAAGGACACTGAGATTAAAGTCCAGTCTAACCTACTAGAAGAGAGAGTGCCTGCATAAGGAGACAAAACACGTATTTCTGACATTTTCTGCTTACAAGTCATCTCATGCAGGACTCTGGCAGGAACAAAGACAACATTCTCCAACACCCCTTCCCTAGTGACAAGGGGATGCTATCTGCATCTTCCCTCTCCCCTTTCCTGAAGCTTCTTGCAAATAAGATGCTGTATCTTCACTTGTTGCATTTAGTTAAGTAGTTCTGCACATAACAACTTCTCCCAAGCCATTTAACACAGCAGTCTTATCAGCAAGAGCCAGCTTTGGCTCTGTAAGGAAAAAAATCAGGTTACATTCAATTAGTTCAAATGTATCCCCTTTAAATTGAAGAGCACTGACTTGATAATTTCGTCAGCGTGAAAGTATTTCACAAACACAACTGTGTCCATGGATCCACGTATGATACAATTTTTATGTATTTACTTTAGCTGCTCAGAAGTGCTCTAGACAGTGAAGCTTTTTCTCATTTGAAACATTTCCTCTATCAAAAAAAAAAAAAAGCCAAAGGAACCAACTCAAATGTTTGTACCGCCAAGTAAATTTCACATTTCTTCTGTAAATAATTAATTCACACCTTAATCACTCTATTTTCTGCAACTAAGTGTCAGATAAAGACCATTGTACCAGGAGTTCATTTTGCATCTTCCTGCCTCCAACCACACAGCACAGAGACTAGGGCTGACTCAACCAGTGAGAGTCTGAACAACATCAAACAGTAAAGAGATCTGCGCTGCTCTTCTGACTTTTCTTTCCCCCCATCTTTTGAAGTGGAGCAGAAACTACTTCTTAAATCAACACAACCTGAAATGTATTTACAGTCCTGAAAAACAACTTCAAATAGAAACGCCAGCTTCTAGAATGACAAGATGCTACAAACGAACCCCTTTGTATGAAAAACATTGCAACAAATTTCAAGAGCAAGAGCAGATGTTATTCGTGCCCTCTGAGTCTAGATCATAAATTGATTAAACAGATTTTATTGTTTGGGTTTCTCACTGAAGTGGCAGCTGCAGCATCTCTTTTAAAAATAACTCCAGCATCCCATTTTTCCATCTAGATCAGAGTTTCACTGACATTAATTTCCTAAGCATACCCACTCAAAACCTTATTTTTTTCATAATACAAAACACTCTTCTGTTGAACTAAATCTATTGGGAAGTCATTAACAAACACTGACTTACAACCTATTTTCCCAGAGCCCTTACACTTCAAAAAATGAAGGTAACATTCTTACCTATCTTGGTCTGAATTTCAGCAAGCTAGAAAGAAGAGCTGAGAACGGCAGAAAATAATAAACACTAGGAACATTTTCAGCACTTCTGTATTACTGTGTCATATGCTACGTGGCTACAATTATTTCTCAGGAACCTGTTAGCAAGTTCATAGTTTTATTTAGGCATACTTTAATTTAATGTAAAGATCCTATTATCCAAGATTTAAAACAAGTGATAGGCAAACTCAGTGGCTCACGACAGGAATCACCCAGAGGAGGCCTTAAAGGGATACTTAGCTTAACAGAGAACCTGCTGTCAGCATCATGCAGGTCACTAAAGTACTCAAGCACATCGTGACAAGAACTCCGGGCGTATCGCAATTCTTTGACCACACTACATTCTTAATGATACCCATCAATATTTTGATGATGAAATTAAAGAGTGGCAGCATAAGCAAGAGGACAACAAAACATTCATCATCTCCTAATCACAAGTCATAAGGGAAAATAGGTATCAGTTCCCCCAGACACTCAAGAAAGCCACGACGTCATACAAAGTTGAGGGGTGCCACCATTCTGCCTGGGGATGCCCTAAAAATGAATTTGCATTTCAGTTCTCTAATCGTTTGCAATTTTCTTCCTGTTTGCTATGGATTTCTGCAATATCAAAAGCACTGAAGTTTTCCAGACTCCCGTTGTAAGAAATATTTGAATGGGTTTACTTACGCATTAGGTTGTAAATGTGCTTTTCTGCAACATGTTCCGTAAACAGCTTTATAAGGTCATCTTTTAAGTCTCTGTTAAGCTTGGTTTCTATGTAAAATTTATTCTGGAAAATAAGACAGAAGTTTTCCAGGTTGGTTTTTTCATAACAGCAAATAAAGCAAACTTACCTATTCTCTGAATAAAAACAGTTCAAAATTTAAAAACTGTAAATCGTCAGCACAGCTCTCCACTGGTGTGGTTCATTGATAATGTCAGAGGACAGATGTTCAAAATCTACTGTGGAAAAAAGTGATATACACAAACATATACAAAACTGAGCTACATTAAAATTTTACTCAAGTAACTCATGAGTAACTCATGAGTTATTTGAGGGTCCCTACACCTATTGTACTATTTGGTGTTATTCCTCAGTTCTCAGCCTGCAATCAATAGCAAGGTGTGGGTTTAAAATGCTGGAAAAAAGGAATTGCTTTAAGGTAATTCTCCTGTCATTACAACACTGACACAAATGTAAAAACAACTGAATTAATCTGGACATCTTGTGTAAAAGAGTTAACCTGATGCATTAATAGCAAATCAATTTAATCAAAAAGGACGTACTGGAACACTTATCCGAGAGATTTACTAGGGAAAGGGATATCTTAAGGGAGAAAAGTTTCTCCACACTTCAAATCACATTAATCTCCTGGGTGCTAAAGCATTTAACATAACTGGAACAAACCCTCAGATCACTATTACAGCAATCTTCACATTTTTCTGAGACCCATTCTCTTGGCCATTACCAAAACTATACACATCCCACAATGAACTGTTCATGCAGAAACCACTTAAATTTTCCAGGCAAGCATTCAGCAGCATTTATCTCCCCTTAATGAAAACTGAACCTGTTAGAACAGAAGCTGCATATACAGCCCCTTTTTGAAAGTTTGGATTTGCTGCAGTGACAAACAACAATCTTAAAAAGATTTTTCTAATATTTAGTAACTTTCTGTTGTCAGTCCCCTCCCTGATGCTGTCCTACCTGTAGAGGTTTTATCAAGGGTTGTTACCTAGTTGTTTCCCCCTCACCTGGGCCTGTTCTTTGGACAGAAATTAGGGGAAAGGCCCTTAATCTGTCATATTTTTGGTCACTGGGAATTGCCATTGCAGCCAGAAGTCACAGCAACTGAAGACACACATCTTCTAGGGAGTGTTAAGCTACGCACCACATATAGTCATTCACCGGACCTAAGTTCCTAAACTGTTTCCACCTTGAGTTCCCTGACCACACCACCCACTGGTGCAACACACAGGAGTGACCAGAGTGACCATCTCCACACCAGCCTGCTGACCTGAAACAAACCTGACAATGTCAAACTACTGATTCCTACAAGCTGACAAGATGAAATGCACCTGGCTAAAGAAATAACTTACTCTGTTCCCTTTCCAGCCTCCAGACCTTCTTACATTAAAAGCAGTTGGCAACAACATGTGCAAACTGTGATGATTTCCTTTGTTCAAGAGTTGGAAAGCCTACACCTGAATTTTGGAACTCGAAAAGCAACAAAAAAATCCAAACAGCTTCAAGAAGAGTTACAACACAGCACTTATCCATAGAATAGCTGTAAAATTCTATTCACATTTGCTCACTTGGAGACACCTTTCCACATAAATGTTACATTTGCATGGATTTAAATAGAGGATGAAAAAACAGCCAACACTTAATTTCAAATCTACAGTGCTGAAATGAGATGGCAGAAGAGCTGTTGTCACCTTCCCTGTTCTCATTAGTGGAAAACCAGGAAGATTTTCTGTACAAGGTTTCAGTACCTAGACTATACCTAAAGGTCTAAGTGACAGATGAAAAGTAAGCAGAGATCAATACCTGACAAAGTCTTCCACAAACCACCATATTATAAAACAATCCGGCAAATATTAAGACACAATTATGCCAATATTATTAAAAGGAGAGCAATAAATACTTGAAAGAGAAAACACAGTATATAAGAGCACTAACCATCTCATCCACATCTAAATACTCACCTCTATTTGTGTACAGACACACACAAATGCCCTCTAGCTGATAAGCAATGAAGTGCAACACCACGCAGTAAGAGCAGTACTATTTTAGAGGCAATAAAATATTCCTAATTATCCAAAACCACACTGCTCACAAATGTCAAGCTCATTTCATGCCAGAAGGTAACAGATTTTCAGCTTCATCTGTAATTATAATTAACAATTGAGATTCTATTATTAAAAAAGTATACAATCTAAATTTTATCTGTTAGAGGGACAACTCTGCAAAGCACAAACAGCCCAGGAGGTTCCTAGAGTGTGTTGATGACAACTTCCTTTTCCAAGTAATCAAGTAACCAACAAGGAGAGGTGCTATCCTCGACCTTGTTGAACAAGACCAGACTGAGAACTGACCCCTGGGGGACACCACTAGTTACAGGCCTCCAACTTGACCCTGCTCCATTAATCACAACCCTCTGAGTTCTGTCACACAGCCAGCTCTGTGTAAAGAGCAATAAGAAAAGCTTCTATAGGTCTGCTGGGGATAAAAGGACAACCAAGAAAAATGCAGGCCCTCTCCTCAAGGAAACAGGAGACCTAGGCATGCAGGATATTGAGAAGGCTGAGGTCCTCAGTGACTTCTTTGCATCAGTCTGCCCTGGCACATGCTCCAGCCTCATCGCAAAGGCCACAGCAGGTGAAAGCAGGGACTGGGAGAATGAAGCAACTGCCACTGTAGGAGAAGAAAAGGTTCATGACCATCTAAAGAATGTGAAGGTGCACAAGCCTATGGGACCTGATGGGATTCACCCACAGGTCCTGAGGGAGCTGGTGGATGCAGTTGCTAAGCCTCTGTCCATCATATCTGAGAGGTCATGGCAGTCTGGTCAGGTTCCAGCTGATTGGAAAGAGAGGAAACATAGCCTCAGTATTAAAAAAGGGAAAAAAGGAAGACCAGGGGAACTACAGGTCAGTCAGTCTCACCTCTGTGCCTGGCAAAATCATGGAACAGATCCTCCTGGAAAATCTGCTAAGGCACAATAAGGAGGTGAGGGGTGACAGCTAATATGGCTTCACTAAGGGCAAGTGATGCCTGACCAGTTTGGTGGCCTTCTATGACAAGACTACAGAGATGGTGGATGGTGGCAGAGCAACTGACATCATCAATCCAGATTTGTGCAAGGCATCTGACACTGTTCCACACAACATCCTGGTCTCCAAATTGACAAGACATGGATTTGACAGATGGACCACTAGGTGGATAAGTAATTGGCTGGATGGCCACACCCAGAGAGTTGTGATCAAGGGTGGTGTCCAAGTGAAGGCAAGCGAGGACTGGTGTTCCTCAGGGGTCAGTATTGGGAACAGTGCTACTTAACTTCTTTGTTGGAGGTATGGACAGTGGGATTGAGTGTATCCTCAGCAAGTTTGCTGATGATACCAAGCTGTGTGGAGGACACCCTAGAGGGAATGGATGCCACCCGAGGGACCCTGATAGGCTGGAGAAGTGGGCCAGTGCCAACTTCATGAAGTTCAACAAGGCCAAGTGCAGGATCCTGCATCTGGGTCAGCACAACCTCAGGCACAAATACATTCTAGAGGTCAGTTCCAAGGAAAATGACTTGGAGGTGGTAGCAGATGACAAGCTTAACATGAGCCACCAATGTGCTCTGGAGCCTAGAGGACCAACCACATCCTGGGCTGCATCAAAAGAAGTGTGGCCAGCAGGGCCAGGGAGGTGATTCTGCCCTTCTACTTGGCTCTGGTGAGACCCCACCTGGAGTGCTGTGTACAGTTCTGGGGCCCTCAGCACAGGAAAGATATAGACCTGTTGGAGAGGCTACAGAGAAGGGCCACAAAGATGAGCAGAGGGCTGGAGCAGCTCTGCTATAAAAACAGGCTGAAGGAGTTGGGGCTGTTCAGCCCCATCTCCAGAATGAGTCTTCTCTCTCCAGAGAAGACTCCAGGGAGACCTTAGAGCACCTTCCAGTACCTGAAGGGGCTCCAGGAAAGCTGGGGAGGGACATTTCACCAGAGAGGGAAGTGATAGGACATGGGGTAATGGTTTTAAACTGAATGAGGGGAGATTTATGTTGGACATCAGGAAGAAATTCTTCACCACGAGGGCAGTAAGGTGCTGGAATAGGTTGCCCAGGAAGGTTTTCAAAGCCCCCTCCTCCCTGGAGGTGTTGAAGGGCAGGTTGGATGAGGCTTGTGCAGCCTGGTCTGGTGGGAGGTATCTCTCCCCATGGCAGGGAGGTTGGAACCTGATGATCTTTAAGGTCCCTTCCAACCTTCACCATTCTATGATTCTATGAAATTATTTATTTTTTAATTGGAAATGTCATTTTTATTCATTTGTGTGTGCAATGTACTGTGATACGTACAACCTGTAAGCAGCCATACAACCTCATTTAGATTTACAAAGCAAACAGTTATTTTGGAATTATTCATAATGTTTTGGAATAAAGGACTGTGTGCTAAGCTGACTTCCAGCCTAATTTGCTTTATCTGCTGTTATGTGCTGAATGGAACTTCTGAAAGCTTACACCCACAGAATTTTGCAGGGATAAAAGTGGACCTCAGTGCTCTCTTGAAAAGTCCACTGCAGCAGCAGCATAAGACTGAAAAAAAAAAAAATCCATCAAAACCACTAGTAAAAGAAAGGGGAAAAAATAAAACCTCCTAGCAAAAGAAGGAAAAAGAAAACTCCCTCAGTTGCAAAGGCACACCCTCTCAACCATCACTCAGGATGAACTTTCACACACACATTGGTCACCACAGGCAAGCAGGTGAAGAAAACACCTTCCCTGCATTCCCACACAAGGATATGGGTTGGTACATATCAGGAAAAAGAAGTGCTGCTGTTGATATCAAAACGCACAGGACTAAGCCTAAGGCAATGCCTTTTTTGGCCACCAAGGGACAAGTACTCCAGTTGTATACAAAACATGTAGGTTTTCCTTGGCTTCTTAGATGTTTTTAAAGTATTTAAATGCATATTGATAAGCAGCAATAAAATTATCCTTTCAGGAAAAAGCTTCTCAATGCAATTCAACAGCCTTGGGAACCCCTGATTAAAGCAGACACACCCCTATCACAAAAGTAAAGGCCTGCCTGCCACCTCTGACAAAAAGGCAAAGTTTAATAACTTAGTCCACTTAAAGATACATTGAAAGTATCTATTAAAGTAACTGCAAAGCTGTAATTTAGACTGTAGAATAATTAGACTTTCACCTCTTGCAATTGTTTTTTTATTGTATTTTCTTGTCTAAACAAAGGAAACTGCTGTGGCATGAAAGAAAACCTGATTAAATGCTACAGGGTAAAATTGCAAGAGTGACTGTTCATATAAGTACTTTCAAAGGCATCCAGAAAAAAAACTGAGAAGAAAACATTTTTCAGCCTGACTTCTCTAGCGATATTTCCACTTCGTGCATAACACTGATTGATAAATTATTTCAGAGAAAAAGTATGAGACTCAATTTGACATTAGCCTTCAAAAGCAGCTATATAGCTGAGCCAAATCAGCGCTGTGTTTGGCAGCAAGAGGAACTCACAAGTCACTAACTCAATCCTAATTTGAATTAGTCACTTCAATGAGGAAGTGTTTGCAGGAACAGTTTTACCACTTGAACAAAGCATCAGTCATGCTTTAAAGAAGCTGCTCCTTTAAAATGACAGAGTAATTCTACTTTCCTTTGTTCTCAAAAGAAGAAAAAAAAACAACATTTAACTATTCATTTTCCAGGTCTGTTTGTTACTCATTAACCACTTTTCTTATGTCCAGATAACAGTCTCATAATCTAAAAAAGGGATACAGAGCACTCCTTGTGTAAAGATACAAACACCACATCACAACTAGGTATAACAATACTGAAATTTATTCAGCAATAATATAAACAATGCTTATGATATAAAGCTTGGTCATATAAATAAAGCTTATAATGATAAAACCTGTTTTGATAATGAAGATCTTTTTATTTTAGTGACTTCAGTCCCAATTGTTAAGGACAGCTTTTGACCTCTGAGATGGAAGAACCCTGTGGCAGATCTTAGCATTCAATAAATATCCAGTTGTGAATGGATATTAAATTATAAAATTTATTAAACACCTGCCTGCAATAAACAAGTCAATGACACACAGGAGAAAAAACTGCTAGAATCTAAAACCAGCTGAATGGAATAGGGGGAAAAAGTCTCCTATTTTTTATAGCAACACATCTATATAGTGACACTGCTGAAAGACTGTAGCAAATTACCTGGCTTCAGGTGCATTCACTGAAACACTGGACATTCTTATAAAACATACTACTTCCCAAACCCTCAGAAGCTACCACCAGTAAGAATAATTTTGAAGAGTGAAATTTATTTAATCTAAACCAGTCTATTTTTTTTTATTATTTTTCTTTCCCAATGAGTATTTCATATTTTTTTTCCAATTTCTAAGTGGTGCCTGTGCAACAATGGTTTCTGGGAAAAGGACAATTTTTAAGCTTAAGTTATTCGTTATTATAGAGAAAACAATAAAAAATCTTGGCCCTTTAACAAAAAACAATGCAAATTATAAACTTGCATTTTAGAAATACAGAAGGCTTAATAAACTACAAAATCAGCATAATCAGCCCTTAGAGCCAATGATTTCTGAACCCCTGCAAGTGTGCTATGAACAGAAGTTTGTCTTCAACCAGTCAAGGCTATAAATTGCTTTATCAAGTGACTCAGACATTCCCAAAAGACATTTTTTTTCTGTCTTGTCTGATTCTGTGGAATTTTAAAGCAAGAAACAACCACCTTCATAACCTGCCCAAACTGCCAGGCCAACATGTAACAAGCCAATAAATTATCACTGTTCAAGAAGATATAAATAATGACCTGAGAAGGCTTTTTTCCAATGAAAATAGAAACCATCCCCCTCCACTCCCAGGAAAGAAATGTTAGGGCAGAAACCAATTGCAGAACTCTGCTTTTAAAAGCATGGTTTCCCCTTCCTCTCCCCAGAACCTGGTCAGTGCTGCTATGCAGGTGGCAAAACCAGGCATAAATCATAAGTTCTACAAGTTAAAAATCATTATAGCAGCACTTTATCCTTTTCATTTTCAGTCATCATCTTGTATATGGACATATTTTATTTGAAAATAATTTTCTAAAACTTACCATATATATGAAAAGAGGCACAATGCTCTGCAATGCTCCCATATACTGTCCAAGAGCTACGTTAAATCTTTCAATATAGAGATCTGGAGGGCTGGCCTGCAAGAAACCGTAAAAGTCAGGTTGTAATTTGAACAAGAGGAAGATCTGGAACAGCATGGGCTATGCTTTCATAGCAAACTCAAAAAAACTACCAAGTATTCAATACACTAAGTCCACACAAAGCAAGCCACACATCATTCCCGAGTTTCTACACTAACTCCCTCCAGTAAAAACAGTTTTCTTCAGTAACTGGTTCTTGCCCGGGACTATGTGTCAGTGCCCAGCAAAAGGTCCATTGAGCAAGAAATACAGCATGTCTGTAACAAACTAGCATTTTGCACTGGGAAATAAACACACTTATTAAAGACTAGACCTTCGTATTGAAAGACTTATCTGTCACACCTAGAATCCATAACCAAATTCCCAGAAGTGCACTGGTGTGTGTGCTCTGACCCCTCTGTGGGCTTTTACTCCAAGACAGCAGAGCAGAGTGGCATTAAGCTGCTGCTTTGCATCGGAGCTGGCAGTGGCACATCCTCCAGCTCCTGGGAACGCTGTCCTTCACAGAGGAAACATTTGATTTTAGCTGAGTCACCTAAGGCAAGAATTCAGGAGGCTGAGTTGGAGGGACTACAAAGTAGTGTCTTCAGACAGAGCTCCACATCTAGTGTCCTGCACTCCAGATGAAAATCTGCTGCAGAGCTCCAACATGCAACATGACCTTGTAGCCCCAAGAAAAACTTTGCTACACAAAACAACAGGCCTTGTAGAGCCCCCAGTGACAGCACTGCTCTCTTCTGTGTACAACACCATCTTTGCCAAAGAAGGAAATAAGCAAGCTAAAAAGATCTGTTCTGCAGCAAGCTAAGTGAAACTGAAAAGGGAAGCAGAAAAATGGGAAAGACTAACCATTCTTTTTTTTAATATATATATTTCTTTAGAGGGATGTGGGGGAACTGCACTCAGGAGTGCACTCACACTCTCAGGAATGGAAGTGGAGCTGGGGTAACATGTTCCTCCACTATCCCTCTCTCTATCCCAACCCACCCACATACAGAGCTCTGTCTCTGTGGCCCAGCTCCTCCTGCTTTCCCTGCTATGGCCATTCCAGAGGACGAGGTGGGCAGCTGCCAAGTTCCTCCTATTCATACACACACCCAACCAAACACACAACCCAACACACCCAACGACCAGGTGCTGCTGGGTAACAAGAAGCAAAACTTCTCTTCCTTTGCACCATTTTCCTCTCTGACAGCACCAAGCCAGAACACAATAGAAAACCCAGCAATGACTGGGACCTTGTAGGAAAACAAGCTCCAATATATTTCTAAAGCCCAAGTGTCCGTGGAGTGAGGAAGGCTCAAGACCAGCTACACCTCAACCACCTTATCGAAACTGAAAGCTGTTATCTGTACACAGCAGATTTTCCAGCCTTTGTATGGACATTCACCAAGGCCCCAAAAAGAACAGTTAAAATTTATGTTGCCTTTTTGCTCTATTAAGTACTCTAAATTCATAAAAGGTTTTGGCTGTTTCTTCCTTTAAACTTGCTTCTTTTGCCTCCCTCCTTATTATGGTTAATGAACACGTGGGTAATTTTCACAGCAAACACCAGTAAAGAGCAGACATTTCAGAAAGGAAAGTAAAACTGGCAAAGGAATAAAGGGAGTTATTCCATATGCTATTGCCAAAGGTTATATATTGTTATTCCTCATTTTGATCACAAGTTTTTAATCTTATTGCAGATGCAGTTCTCAGGGGTGGCCAAACAAATTTTAGTACAAAATGCCAACAATGTATGAAAGTGGCTCTGAACTCCAAGGACTCCCTTTCATATGTAGTTAAATATATAATTTGTTGCAAATAACATGCAATGAAATCTGCATTTCTAAGCAGCATGTATTCCTGCTTCACTCCTTTTTAACCTCAACTTTGAATATGGTTATACTCTCTGATTCGTAAAGACCTGGTATACAGATTCTAAGATTAAAGAAAAAGGAAAATATTACTTCAAAGAACATGCCAGACAAAAGGAGACCACAGCCTGACACGGGGCACCACTCCTCCCTCACTGACAGTTTCTACTTTTCATTTTAAAAAAACACCAGAGACAGAAGTTGTCAGGAGAGTATGTGATTTAACCCCATGAACAGGCTCTCAGCAGTGGCATACAGCCATTCTGCCACTCTTTACAAGGGACATTAAGAATTGGTGTGTTTTTCCTCCACAGAAGATGAAAACTCTGCTACCCTATGTCACACTGAGAGCTGGTTTAAAAGGGAACAATAACTGCACACTCAGCTGTCACCCGAGAACAACCTCAAGAGTCCTTTAATGGAAAGATACGTAGAAGCTGTTCACCATCACCTTGCAACTAAGTGAAAACTGCTCTAGGTCAAGACCAAAAAGCTAAGAAAAGCCCTGACAGCTTGAGAGGAAGTGCTCAGTAGTGTCAGGCAAAACTTAACCTCACATCTGCAAACTCAGAGTATTAACTGCTTATCAGCATGAGATGTTACCTTTTAGTTTTACTCTCCTGATCACGCTTCATGTCAAGCCTCAATAGTAAAGACACTACAAGGAAAGCACAAACTGACTCTTCCTGCTTTCAAAAATTTTTTTTAAAAAAATAAATAAAATAAAATTATTGCTTGACTTTTAAGCTAATGAAAAACCCAAGCCAAAGAGAAACCACTAATACTGTTTTCACAGCTCATGTATGAATCATCATAATCTGTGTGGGGAAAACAGAACCATCTGTTTTCTGTTCATTAGCAAGTTGCTGTATGGCTGCTTAAAACTGCCAGACTAAAATCAGTTACTTGAGCACAAGAACTTCTTCCATATCTCTACAGTCATATTAATAAGACAGCAACTGGAGTAGGACTAACTTTATATAAAATACATTAACTTTATAAACTAAAAAGCAGTATGTGGCACCACATTCATGAGTAAATAGATGCTGCTAAGATTTTTTCTATTAAATGGCCATCATTAGAGTGGAACTTGCATTTAAAATCTAGATTTATTCAGCTATAGCTATTATTAAAGAAAAAACAAACAAAACTATTTAAACTGACATTTTTCATTCTTGGTCCTAGTCCAGAAAATATACAACATACATTCAGCTTTGTTAATTACTAGGAGAGGGGTAGAATCAAGCATGACATTTACTTCTTACAAACCCCCAGAAAATATTAAGTCTTTAAATGCACTCTTATCTTACCTGAGGGATGTATTACAGAAGCTATTCAAACAAAGAAAAATATATTGCTAGCTTAAGTTTTTGCAGGAAAGAAAACAACCCCTTGTTCTTTCACTCTCTGTTCTTGATACTATCAAAATGCCAATTCAGCTGGTTTTTTGTTGAGGGTTTTTTGGTGTTTTTTTTTAAGATAACTCTGTATCTTAAATCCTTTTCTACAGCTTAAATCCTTTCCTACATTTGCTCTCATCTACCACTCATAGGGTTAAGACCAGTTTTCCAGTAGCAACTATATAGTGCATCTGTGCACAGAAGAACTGAACATTGGGTCAGGCTTGTAAAATTCTGACACAGCTCTCTTGGCTTAACATCTTCAGCTTGGTTTTGAGTTGACTACTACTCAGCATAAAATACTATGACTGCTGTTAAAAGCAGATGTTAAAGACATTATTTAATCTTCTTAAACACCACAGTGGACATCTCAGCATCAAGAGGCAAGAAAACACATTTGAGAACAGATGACATGTAAGACAGACATCAAACAAAACAAGCAACTAGAGACCCAGTGCACTAAATCACCCTTCCCTTATTTGAAATCTAATATCTAGGCATTTCAATGAACTTGTGGGCAAGAAACTGTATACATTAAAAATATGTGGGTTTTCTTACCTCGAAAACCAGTTTGGATATCATTCTTTGACTAAACATATGAAACCAGAAGACACGCTGCTGGCTCAAAACCACTCAGAAATGGCTCACAAGAAACAGAGACAACAGTTCTTTGCTTGAGGAACACAAAGTTCATCTGTTTATGACTAGTTGTCTGGCACAATCAGCAATATATTTAGTAAAGCTTACAGCCCTATGTTGAACAGGCAGTTCTATTTTCCTGGGAACATGCTCACTGCCAAAATGCCAGCATACATGCTGCAGCATCTCTCCCACGCTTGCCAAGTGAAAAGGGAGAATGATTATGACTACATAAACTAACCTGCTATTCGTGTACGTGGTCTGAACATTTTAAACCAGTTTTTGTTCTTTCTCAAGAAAACCTGGTTTACTTTGCCTTGCAGACAGTTTCTGTGATGCCCAGGTCTATATCACTAGAGAAGTGTGCTATTAGAACTTCTTACAAAAAACAGACATCAAGCCAACGTACAATTAATTCCAAGACTGAGTTTGTCTTCCTAATCAAGTCTGGACTCCAAACTGTTCAAAGCTGCACAGCATCATGACACTCTCCTACAGTTGTCTCAGAGCAGGGTAGCAGATGTAGCCCATGTTTCAATTTCTATTCCACACACTTGGAAAACAAAACATTGTACCTAAGGACCATCAAAATTCTGTTTAATAGAAAAAAATCTTTAGAACTGTTTCCCTCTAGTAAATACATATTCATTTGTGCCATACTTACTTTTATCTTTCTGTAATTCTATCAGTGTATTCTATCAGGTATTCTGCCAGCACTCATAGTGTGGCAAGGAGCCAAAAATGACTGCAGGAATGGAAGCTTTTTCAAAAAGCTTAAGGCAAGGATGTTTTTCTCAAGTTACCTTGCTCATGACAGTCATTTTCTATGGCAATTCTGGCAAAATGGTGACCCCTACACATACATCAAGTAAAAAGCCATATTTTTTATGTCCACAAACAAAGACACACATATTTCTAACACTTCCAGTTTCTCCCATCTGAGCTGTAATACTGAGCATTCATCTGGTCTGACTCAATTCAGTGTGACTCACAGCAGTAAAGGCTTGTTTCACACAGTATTAGGCAACGTTCAGCAAAACCAATGGATAAATGCCTATGGCAATGGATGTTTGAATTCTTTTTCCTTCTAAATATTATGGAC